TAAAGTGACATTTAGGCCTCGTTCACACCTGAACGTTTTGTAGCGCGTTCTACGCTCGACGAACGCTCTACAAAACGCTCAAACATCTAAATCCCATTGTATTCAATGGGTCTGGTTCACATCTTGGCGTATTTCAGCCCGTCCCTAACGCGCTACAAAACGGCCCACGCCTGAACAGGTACATGTACTACTTTGGGCCGTTTTTGTTGCGCGTTTCCATTGGGATACAGCCAAGTAGCCCTCGGAAACGCGCATTTGTCGCGCAATTTTTTTTACCGCGAACCGCGGTAGACAACCGCGCATATGCAATACGCCTAGGTGTGAACCAGGCCTAAACCCTCAGATTTTTTAACATAAACCAATAGTGTAATGTGTGCCTTAATGTAATCCATGGTTGTTTCCCTTCTCTTTGCTGCTCTTCCTTTTAAATCCTCATGTCTTCTCATGCTTGGGGAGAACTTCCCTTTGCAGCTGAGTGCCTCTTCCTGTAGTGCTTGCTCAGGTTGCAAACCAACACACAGACACCGTGTATCCATTCCTGAGACAAGGCAGTCTGCTGCAAAACAGAAGTTCTACCAAGCATGAGAACAGATACAGATTTAAAAAGGAAGAGCAGCAAAGAGAAGGGAAACAACCATGGATTACAGCAAGGCGCACATTACAGTATTGTTTTATGTTAAAAAATCTGAGGGTTTAATGTCACTTTAAGTTAAGGGAAAGATCCCTTGCAAAGCGAACAGCCCATGCGCCTTTAGCAAATCATCCTGTGACTTAAAAGCACTTAAGTCAGACAAGCATGAGCATTTTTTTCCAAGAGGCCAGCAATGGCAGCCTCCATACTTTCCTGATGCCAGATTCCCAATAGTCTCAATCATTCAGTACCCCTCCGGGTCATTGTGTGCATGCACCTGTGGCATGACGACTCATTCAGGGGGAGTTGTAAACATAAATGGTGTGTAATCAGCAGCAGCCCATGGGTCCATGCACACTGTATGTATACAAATGTTAGCACAAACATTTACATGTATACAAGAGTAACTAAAACAGTAATTACAGCCCTCGGTGCAGTTTTTGTTTTTACATCGAAAGTAGCACAATATTACGCTGCCAGACACAGCTGTGTAAGTGGGCGCATAGATTCTACACTGCTCCATCGAAAACTATAGATTATATGCACTTGTATGCAGTTTTTAATGCCCCTGTGAATAAGCCCTAAAGCTGATCTGTACTGGCAGTATAAGGTGCCTGCCATTGCCTTACATGGGCACCCGTTTTGGCCAACCCACACACCAAGACTCAGATCTTCCAAATATTGGGCACAAATGTCACTCCCTCCACCTACCTCAAGGGAAAGCTCAAAGAAATCAAATCCCAGGCCCAAAAGCTCTTATGTAAATAGGGCATATCTAGCCCTAAACACATAGTGACTTGTGTATTTGCAGAAGCCTTTCAGAATGTGCATTTGCAGAAGCCTTTTCAGGGCAGTTTGCAAACAGGGGAGCAATGAGTGCTGGTAAAGTAAAAGCAACACTTTTAATTTGAATTAAACTGACAATATATATTACTTACAATTACCCAGCTTTTTCTGGTAAAAAGATTTCTGCTTTTGTAACATCAGGTCGGCTCTCAAATCCATAGAACTGTTGAGTATTACTAGCCCTATTGACATTACTTGGCCTGGTTCACACCTGCTCGTTTTACAGCGTGTTCCTACGCGCTATAAAACGCTCAACATGTGAAAACCAATAATTGCCTATGGGCATGGTTCCCACCTGGGCGTTTTACAGCGCGTAGGAACGTGCTGTAAAACGCCCTACGCCCAAAGAAGTACAGAAGCTTCTTTGGGGCGTATTTGCCGCACGTATCCATTAAAATACAGCCGGATAGCCCTCGGAAATGCGCGTTTGTCGCGCGTTCCTTTTACCGCAAATCGCTGTAAAAACACGGGGCACGAAACGCGCGGCAAACGCGCATATTCCGTACGCCCAGGTGTGAACCCAGCCTTAATCTTTAAGTTCTAAGGGAAGAAACAGTAAAAGAGGAAACTTCACTTCTACAACAGCAAGAGTAAAAAACTCCAAAAAGGACAGGACCATGTACAAAAGGCACACTTCAAAGGAAAGGAACATTTCAATGAAGTCTAAAACGGTAGCCATACACTGCAAATTTCATCCGGTTCTTGAGGAAACAGCCAAACTTTGCACAGTGGGTGCTGCTGTCAGCACTATCAGCTGGCATCCCTCGTTCAGCTGATTGAAGGAGTCGGTCGAAAATTCGTCATACTAAACAGAGCCGTCAGCCAATGAGCGGCTGGCTCTGTTCGGGTATTCTGACAAATTAGCCTTTGTCAGAAGCAGAGTAAAGAGCGGGGATTCCTTGATCAACACTCTTGTAGTGTTGGAGGAATCTGATCTATTTTTTTGTTTGAAAATGTGCATTTGAAGAGGTCTTTTCAGGGCACAGTTTGCAAACTGGGCAACAATGAGTGCTGGTAAGTAAAAGCAATACTTAAACGGACAATCTATTTTTTTTGTTCGAAAAAAAATAGTGTATGGCCAGCTTAAGTAAGGTAGTGACCAAGCACAACTCTCCCTATAACTAAAATATCACTATTAGCTAATCCTTTTATAAATATGTCCACTGTTAAACAGCTATACACATATAAATTAAATTTAAAAAAAAAAACAGAAGCCACATATTCCCACTTCCCAGTAACTTTCCGGAAAGGTATAAATACTGGTGACTAAAAAGGCACAAGTACCAATGCTCAGCTCACATTGAATCCAAATGATCTCAGAACAGAGACAAAATTCAGAATATTTGGTAAATGATTCCCCCCCATCCATTTGTTAATGGGGCATAGTTAGACTTGCACAGCTCTGCCATTTGAATCTATAGAAGTTATTTGTTTAGATCAGAGCTATTCTTTAAGCTGTTCCCACCCATGAATGTCACGTGACACCATGTTTAAAAAAAAAAAAAAAACTTAATATAATAAAGCTGAATATCATACTTATCATGGCTTCTATCCATATGTTAGAACAGAATGCATATCCTGACCTTTTGAAGGATGGACATCTCTGATCTTTTGAAGGATGGACATCTCTGATCTAGAGGCATAACCTACTTGTGCCATCAAATGATTAACATTTCAGGCAAAACATAAGGTGTGTGAACATTTTGTGACAGAATGAAAACTCATTCTAAAATACCCATAATCAGAAGTTGTATTCTGTGTATCACTGTTAAGAAGTTTAGCTGCAACCACTGGAGAATGCCAAGTGTGCAGAGCAGCCTTTGTGCAAGAAGCATTAGCATCTAAATGTTGCACTAAAGGATTAAATACCCATTTGGCAGTGCACAATTTTACAGACATACTGACCTGTGAACAAAGCATATTGATTCAGTTGACATGGAACATGTTAAAAGAAAACCTGAATACATGATATACAGCACCAAGTAGAAAGATTCTGGGAATGTGCGAGTTCAGCAATATTTGATATTTACCTCTTTAGACATATTAAGCTCTGGAGACATTAAATTTAGATATATACTTTCCATCGCAAACTAACAACGTTCATTCTAGAACAAAAACGGTCGATTCAAACCAAGATATAATCACCTAAAATAACCCAACATTAAATTCAGCATGCCCCAATACAAGCAATGCCTTGGCGTAATGGATCTTAACCTGTCAAGTTTAAATGCATTTCATCACAGCAATGAGCTTGGATAACTGCCATGCATACTGTCTGGTACCAACCACCTGGGTGCAATGCAGATTTCGTCTCCAATATGACATCAACGGTTGCTATGGAAATGGGTGAGGTAACACTTCCAGCTGAACTGTGTGAGGGCAGAGAAGGACATAGTTTTGCATACAAGTCATCTGTTTTGGGGTGCATATTTAATACCCCAGAAGAGCTTTATGGATGAAAAACGATAATCTTCAGCAGAGATAGTCAAATAATGCGATTAAATTAAAAATTGACTCTATTAAGCAGAAATTGTTTAATGGGAAGTGATGAAGTGGCTTATACAGTTATGCGATGAGTGTGTTCACACACACACCAATTTCATTTGGGCTTTAATATCTCAAAAGGGACAAAATAGATAAATAACATATGTAGACAAGGATGAGTGCATTATCCATTAGATCTATTAGAAAAGAGCAGAGGCACTGTGCAAGGCACAATGCTGGCTTCCCGAGAAGTCATCCTATTTAAATGCAGAGCAATGCACCTGCAAACAAGTTTTCCCCAATCCATTTAAACAATTGCCTTTTTTCCGATTCCCCTCCCTCCTCCAGACAGTCCAGCCTCTTCTCTGCAATATGACAAATGCAGAATCTTCTGGAAGGGCTGGTACTGCCTCTCACCACTGCTTTGTCTGGAGAAAAAAAAATATAGATGAGATTGCTGATATTTCTCCTTTCTGAATGGAAAGGTACAAGAGAAAATTATCAGCGAGTCCCAACGTGGATAGCAGATTTTGACAGCTGGCTCTTTAAATGAAAACCAAGGGAGCAGGGTGTGATCAGTGCTAGCAAGAGAATCCTTGGACAGAAATCCTGGATTCTGCTGGTGGAGAAATTCATTTGGAATTCTGGAGCCAGTCTGTCCAATCTTTATATGTGTTAGGTGCCAGTTCCATTGACAAGAAAAGCATAGAAGTCGGGTGCCAGCTGTCATTTTTAAGGAGCATTGGCAACCTGGCTCCTGTCCAGCACTGTCTCCCTGTCACCCCAACCCTCCACTGAACACAGGCCACATGTACCCCGGGGGGGAATGGAGACTTCCCCATAGTAAACAGGTACCAGTCCGCCATACTCCCCTCATACAACCCCCATTTCACAGCCCGGAGACTCGCCCACATTCCACCTATATATACCAGCCTGGCTGCTGACTAATACCGCAGTGAGACCCGTTACATAGGAAGACTAGGAGAGGACGGGTAGACATGGAACAAGCTAGCGCTCCCACCCTTCACTCCACACTTACTGCTTTCATAGCAGCGGCCATGTCGTCGTATCTCTCGGCTTGTTCGGCCAGTCGGGCTTTCTGCACCAGCTGCTCGCGGTCCACCATCTTGCAGCGCAGCGAGTGGGGAGGGGTGGGTGAGTGAATTCGGCGGCGGGCAGTGGTCTGTGGAGACGGTGGCGGAGGGGAATGCTACGCCCTGATGTGTGCTGAGCTCTGCCTTTCTATGCCTGTGCCGCACGCTCTGCTGCTCGTGTCAGTGTGCTGCTCCTGCGGCTGAATAACGGTCTCCTCTCTGGCCGGTGACTCCCTGCTGTCTGCGCGTGCCTCCAGGGACCGCCCACTCTGCTCGTGCCTCCTATCGTGTGTGGAACCGCCCGGTGGCGTCATCTCTCCCCCCTCAGTCTCCCGCCCTTTCTCCCCCTCAGCTGATGTCAGCAGCCGTAAAAGGCCAGCCGGTGGCTCCCGGGCTTGTGAGAGGCGCACACGGGTTGTTGGGCGGTGGCTAGGGGCGGCCGAGCGCTCATGGCTGCGCCCTATTGCAGTGTGGGAGTAGTAGTCTTTACAGACCTGCGGCGTCAACGTCTGTAGAGGGAAACGCCTTGCTGGAAAGACTACAAGCCTCTGCAAAAGACAGACACTATTCTTTTCCTCATCGTCTAGCACCATGTTACCTCATATGGAGGAGTGGAAAGCTTGTGCTGTAAAATATGACGTCACGATGCTTTTACAAGACTAAAGTAAAGCTGCTCATACACCAGTAGAATCTCATTAAGGCTCTATTCAGACTAGGTTCACACCTGCAGTACAGTGATTGACAGCACTAGAACTATTGCTCTCACTCTGACGTTCACGGCGATATGTAAGGGGTAGCGCAATTGCCGTTTTCACACACGTAGGCGCACTGGCGTGTGTTTGAGTTTCTATGTGCGTGCACAAGGGGGACTTAAAAACATTTTTTTGCTTTTTCTTTTATGTTACTTTAATTTTTATAACTTTTAAACACTTTATTTTTTTTTTTACACTAACCCTATTGATATTACATAGGGGGCTAACAAGGGTGTGACAGGTCCTCTTTATGGAGACATCAGGGGTCTTTCAGACCCCTAATGTTACCTAGGGACCGCAAAGAAGCTGAGGAAGCAGACAGCGCAGAGCTGTACTGTGGCCAGGAAAGATCCCGACAGTATTGTTGCGATCCACCCCACCACCTGAATGACAGCTGGCTCTGCCTCCAGCCGGGGAGCGCGCTTCTGTCCATAGTAATCATAGTAATGTCCCATCAGGCATTGCAGTACCTCACTGCTGATGTGTGGACGCTGTCAATGGGGAGGAGGAGGCAAAGGAGGGTCTTTTTGCAATTATTACATATCGGCCTCCCTGTGGGTGGGCGCAGGCAGCGTCATCATGCCGAGATGTAGTCCACGGCCGGGAGCGTGCAGTACATGGTGGCTTCTTAGGACTCAATGAGAGAAAGGAGCCATCCTCATTACTGATGTCATCACCATCGATGCAGGGACATATAAAAAGAAAAGGAAAACTCTGCACACAGAGAGAGGAAGCACAACAAGCAAGTCTGAAAAGACTCAATTTAAATAGCTGAAAAAGAGGAGACTTTAATATCACTTTAAGCCTGGCAGAATGGCAACTGCCTTGTGGCTCCTCAGGAACAAAATCATCCATCAAAGATTTGGGAGAATCTGTCACTCGGAGGCATCCATAGTCACTCTGCACCCATCCAACTCCAGACCTGCTAGACTCCGGACCTGCTAGAATACACAGGTTCTTCTGTTTCACCTTTTTTTGTTGATGAACCACCGCACAGCTTGTGGGATTTTTATAAAAGTTTTAATAGAGCAGGATAGGCCCTGAAGAATGCATTAAAGTGAACAAAAAGTGGAGGAATGTGATATTTGGGGAATTTAGCACACATGGTGAGCGCTTAAGGACCAGTCTTTGCCGTTTTAACATAAAAAGGACAATCTTTGATTTCCTCCCTACCAGAAAAAAACTTTACTTCACCAACACAACATACAGTCTGCTTATGTTTCAGCAACTAGACAATATAGCGATGTCTCACCAACTCAAGATTGTCACATATACTCCATGTGACTCTTCCACACATATTTGTGTTACAGGCTCAATAAGCCTCCTTGGCTGATTCCCAGGTGCCTCCAGCGCACACACAGCCACCTGGCTCCACTCTGGCTTCTGGGTGGAGTCCTGACACCTGAACTCAACCTGTCTCTTCCCAGCAGGAGCCCTCATGTCCCTGCAGCCCACACCAACTCTTCCCTTAAGGGCCTGTTCACACGACGTCCGTTTTGTGTGCTGACTGGCTCCGTACGCTGCTGCACTCAAAATGCATCCCAATGTATCCCTATGTGTTTTATGGGCTCCAGTTCTCACGTGCGCAGTCCGTTCAGCTTACGACAGAAAAATACTGCATGTCACATTTTGTCAGGTCCAGAAACGCAAACGCGGCAAAAACGCATCAAAAATGCACTGCAGCTAGCATACTAACAGCCCCACTCCAGCAAAAAAAAAAAAAAAACAGGCCGTTAAGCTCTGGTTTGGGCTCTTAATGAGGCTGCTCTCAGCCACCTGATCACTGGCAACACCTGATCTCAGGACTGGAGATTTCATCCCACCCAGACCTGAAAGAAATCTCCAGAGATCCAGATCCCAGCTACAATTCCGAAAACCCGGAAGAAACTGAAAGGCCAGCTTCTTGCCTGCAAAACTATTTTCATTCTGGAACCTCTCAGCCCCTCTGGCTGAGAGTCCTGGGTGACCGTGTTGCCAGCATACTCTGTGGCATTGCCACGTACCTACACAGTACACTGTGTGCACAATTATTAGGCAAGTTGTAATTGTGAGGAATAATTTCACTATTAAACAACTGCAGTGCTCTCGGTCAATCCAAAATGTTAATGAACCTGAATATTTAAGAAAGTCAAAGTGAGGTTTTGGCTTCCTTAGGAGAATATCTATGTGTGCACAATTATTGGGCAACTATTAGCGTGCAGGATTATTATGCAAATAAATGGAAAATGAAAATTTTCCCATCTCACTTGTTTATTTTCATCTGTTAAAGTTAGAATAGTAAACAAACAAACAAACATCTCAATATTTACAAATAAACATTTCTGACATTTTCAAAAACAAAATCAGTGACCAATATAGCCCTTCTTTTCAATAACAGTCATAAGCCTTCCATCCATGGGGTCTGTCAGTTTCTTCATCTGTTGACTATCAACTTTTTGAGCAGCAGCAACCACAGCCTCCCAGACACAGTTCAGAGAGGTGTACTGTTTTCCTTCACCGTAAATCTCCTGTTTAAAGGAGAACTATGAGGTGAGTGCTTTTCACTCACCTCATAGTTCTAGCCGACCTGTGACAATGAGACTGTCACAGGTCGGCTCAGTAGATCGGGAGGTGAGCGAACATATATCGGCGTCCGCTCACCTCTCCATCCTGTCACTGCAGAGAGCCGTGACGGGAGCATTGTCCTGCATAAATATGGTCTTTTTGAAAGATGCAGACTTTTTCCTGGACCACTGCTTGAAGAAAGTGCCTTCAAAAAACTGGCAGTAGGTTTAGGAGTTGATTTTGAGTCCATCTTCAACCCGAAAAGGTCCAACTAGCTCATCTTTATTAATACCAGCCCACCAGTACCCCACCTCCACCTTGCTGGCGTCTGTGTCGAAGTGGAGCTCTGTGCCTGTTACTGATCGAGCCACGGGCCCATCTGTCTGGTCTGTTAAGAGTCGCTCTCATCTTATCAGTCCATAAAACCTTTCAAAAATCTTTCTCCAGATATTTCTTGGCCCAGTCCTGACGTTTCAACTTATGTGTCTTGTTCAGTGGTGGTCAGGTTTCAGCCTACCTTACCCTAGCCATATCTCTGAGCACTGAACACCTTGTACTTCTGGCCACCCAAGGTAGGTTGCAGTTCTGGAATATGACAGCACTGGAGGATAATGGGTTCCTGGTAGCTTCACATTTGATTCTTCTCAAATCATTTGGCAGTTAATTTGCATCTTTCTTTCTTAACATGTTTCTTGCGACCCTGTTGATAATTTGCAACAAAAAGTTTGATGGTTCTGTGATCAGGCCCCAATATCTTAGCAATTTCAAGAGTGCTGCATCCCTCTGAAAGACTTTTTACAATTTTTGACTTTTCAGAGTCCATTTTGCCTGAGGAAAAGAAGCTGCCTAATTATTATGCACACCTTGATATAGGATGTTGGTATCCTAAGGCCACACCCTCCCTCATTGCACATCACCTGATATGCTTAAATCAAATAAGCCTTCAAGCTTATACAGCTTGGAGTTAGGACTATATGCATAAAATTGGTGATTTGGTCAAAATACTCACTTGCCTAATAATTGTGCACACTGTGTAGATAGATATGATATAGCAATAACAACTATGCCTATAATCCTACTACTTTTCCCAGCTAAACTGACATCTGAGGCTCAGTCCAAAGTTAACTAACGTATTACTGAACTGTGGTACTGAGTCCATACAGTGCACAGGCTTGTGTCTCCGGGGTTAACTTTCTCCGGGGCCATCGAAAGGGTCATCTCCCGTTCCAGCCCACATTCCATATACCACCAATCAGCTATGTGGTGTCTCATATGCGGCCAGGTAGTCACAAACGTTTACCGTGATACTCAACACGCTGGTCTTTCTCTCTCTATGATGGGAGGTGCTGTTGCCGTTGGTAACTGCTGATTACATCTTTGGTTGGTCATCTTTGAGCCTAATGAATGGGACCCTGCGTGGCCCCAAAAGCACTTGTCTGATTGACACTATTCATCAATAAATGGATGCCTGTTTGTTCTGAAACTATACTTGGTGTGCTAGTGACGTCTTCATCAATTGCTACTACTGGCGGCGCCATCACTACGAGCACCCTCCTTTACTACATTTGGGATATCCGGCGAAGACTGCGGCAAGTCATCTGTACATTATTCATGAGCAGTAGAGACCCGATGCAGCAGGACTGCTGCCCTTGAACATGTTGCGCTGCTAAACAGAGACAGCTTAATTGAGAACACCAGGTAATAGCCATGGGTATTCACAAACCAACTACTATAGGCAGAGGAGGTTCAATGGATGGAGGTGACTAGGTAGCAAGGACTATCCAAGGTGGAAATGCATGCCTCTTGCAAATATGAGTCAATGGTGGAAGATGATACCTCATGCGGAAAAGGCAAGAACAGAAAGCGTAGTGTCTGCATGTCACTGCAGCTAGTGCCACAGCACTTCATTTCCCAGCATGCTAGCCCTTTATATGGAAACCAGTGTAAATGGGGGGATATTGATGGTGCTCAATAGTAAAAATAAATGTAGTAGTTCTGAAGGC